ATTGTACTAAATGGAGCTCTTAACCCCCGATCCTCTGAACAACATATTTGTCTAACATTATGAAAGATTGCATCAAAATGGCGACCATCATTTGTACAAATTTCTTTTCCTTTCTAGTTATAACAACCGGTTCTGTTGGTTTTTTAATAGAAATGAGAGAAAATAACCCCTTATGTACCGAACTATATAAGATCTCCTACAAGATCAAACAATTTAGTTTGATATGAACATATAAACGTGATATAAGAATTGAAGCATGCCTGAATGTAATAAAAGAAGGTGCTTTTTTATAATTGTAAGATGAAGAATGATGGGATGACAAATATACCGTGCTCCCCCAGCGATCACGGGCATCAATGTTGGCTTTGCGACTCAACAGGAGCTGGGCAACGTCAACATGTCCTTCACAAGCAGCAATATGCAAAGCAGTACGACCATCAAGATCGATACTATTAACATCAATCCCATCATCAAGCAGATCTTTGACCCCTTGAACATCGCCTTTACAGGCTAGAAACAGCAATTGCATGGTGGAATCAAGGTTTCCAGGGAGGGTGAACTCATCCTTGGTGGGTGTTCGTCGAATTGGGTCAAGGGACGATTGACGGCCAAAGCTGAAACGAATATTATTGGAACGTGGATCCATAGAACTCTGACGCTTGAAGCTGAATTTGCCGCCGAGTTTCATTGAACCGGCTGAGAATTGACGGGAAATCCCGCGTTTCAATTGAACAGCCCTATCCATGACGGTGGGTGATTGTTTCTTCAACGATATACGTCTGTTATAAAAGGAATATTAAGAACATGATCCAAGAAATTAAAGGGGTAGACGCCATTAAAACAAGTAGAACAAAAAGAGAAAAGGGGCGAGCTCGATCGAGAGCTAAGACGGAGCTCCCGATTGCGAGCCAAAAAGGGGGAGGGGGAGAGGGTTAGGGAGGAAGATGGAATCCAGAAAAAGGGTAAATAATTGAAAAGAAATCCGAGTGAAATGCGATGATTATATTGATGAACAACACACAAAGTGGGAAAGGAAACGGTGTTGAAACTCTCTGTTTTTGTCTGTCTTCCTGCCACTCGGTTTATCCGGAAAGTCGTTGCAGCCTTCGTTTATTTACACTTCACACCCTCAACTTTTCAAATCTTGTCAAAAAACTACTTTATTTTTATGAAAAATTTCCCCACTCCGTAATTTATCTAAATATCACTACATCCGCAAGTGACATCTCACTCACTTATAAACTTTAACTAAAAGACAAAAAAAAAATCAAATTCAATCCAAATTCGTATTTTAACAGTCAGGTCTGTAATTACAATGATACCACTTGCTATAAAAAGAATAATTTTTAGTTTTTTTATTAACCTGGATATCCAACCCGCTATGCAAGCCGACTAATCCCAGAACGACCACCTGCTTTACAGATAGTCCGGAGTCACCACATTTGAATCTCCGTAGCCACAAAAAGATTTTTATTTCTCCTTAGATTTAAACTTGAGACCTCTTGATACTTTTAACCTTTGAAGTCAAGCTTAAACTAATCAAACATCACCGTCAGTAGTTAAAGAATAATTATTTTAACCAATTAAAATAATCTCAGACCAATCAATTCAACTTTATTGCAGTCACACATCAATAATTGATTATGATAATAAGTTAAAATAAAAAGTAATGGTTACAAATCCATATATTAATTGATTATTAAATGCTTTTAAATACTATATATTTCAAGCCCATACCCTTGACTTTTTCTTGCTTGTTTTGGACTCTACAATGACACGTGTAACCTCACCATCTCCCAATGCATAAATTATTCAAGTAGTAATCATAAGATGATAAAAGTCTTAGAGGTCTCAGATTTTAATTCAATAAAAAATAAAAATGTTTTTGTGATTATAAAAATTTAAATATTATGATTTTGGTTTATCTGTAAAATAGATGGTTGTTTTAAAATTAATCGACTCGTATAACGGATTAGATATCTAAATTAATAATATATATATATATATATATTCATTCAAGCAATCAACTTTTTTTAACTCACATTTTTCAATAAAAATGTATTTTTACACATTTTTTTGATGTAGAAATATTTTCAAAAGCTTTTTCATCAATTTTATTATAATTTATTGTCGTCTATTTAAAATGTTTTATAATTAAAAACCTCTTATTTAATTTGTCATGCTAAAATTCACGTTATATTTTTCGAACACAAGATTTAAGGACCATTTATCTAAATATTTACTCGGTAAGTGTTTTTTTTAAGAGTTAATATTATAATTTATTTTTATCGGGTAAGATTGTACTACATAAAAACGTATCTTATGCAACAATTTACCTGGTAAACGCTTACCCGAGTAAGAGTCGTCACATTTACTTATCGGGTAAGACTTTCCATTCTTATCATCGCTCTTATCAGGTAAGATTATTGTCCCTTGCCATGTTCATCCGGTGAGAAAAAATTGTCCAGCAAGTACTTATCGGGTAAACGTTTAGTAAACGGCCTCTTACTCAACATTAAAATCCAAAAATTACGACATTTTCTAATGAAGTTTGTATTTTATTAAAGGGCAAATTGCATGAAAAAGTAACGTACTTTAACTTGATTCCTATTTTGGGTAACGTACTTTCAAAACTTTTATTTTGGTACCTAAGATGTAAAGTTTTAAGCATTTAATTACCCGGGTTACCATTTGAAGACTAAAATTAGATTAAAAAAAAGACTAATTTTATATTTAAAAAATCCACATCACTGACCACATCAGCAAATAATACCGAGTTGGATACCACATCACTCGTCACATCATCATGATAATCGGTTAATACTTCAACCAGTTATCCGGGTACTTAAATGTTTAAAACTTTACATCTTAGGTACTAAAATGAAAGTTTTGAAAGTACGTTACCCAAAATAGGAATCAAGTTAAAGTACGTTACTTTTTTCATGCAATTTGCCCTTTATTAAAAAAAACATAAACGATAAAACTCATTAATATAAAAACATAATGACAAGGACACACGAAGATCGATTCGTTAAAAAAATGAAAGACGGTGAATAGATTATATGATTTTTGTGTTTTGTTCGGTTTTCAATATTGGTGTTAATTTGATCATCTTGACCAGAGATTTTCAATAAATGTATTTTGTTATAAAATATATTTGGTTTTATTATATATATTTAACAGATTAAATTAATTAATTAAAATGTATTAAAAAATGACACCAATATCGAATACCTAAAAGAATATAAAAATTATATAATCTATTCACCGTCTTTTATTTTTTTACGAATTGATTTTTGTGTGTCGTTGTCGTTATATTTTTATGTCAACGAGTTTTATCGTTTACTCGTTTTAATAAAATACAATTTCATTTCGAAAGAAAAGAAAACGTCAAGTAATTTTCGAATTTTAATGTTGAGTTATTTTTGAGTTCGAAAAATATGACGTGAACTTTAAAATGACAAATTAAACGAGGGGCTTCTATAAAATATTTTAATGGGATGAGAGTAAGTTATAACGAAATCGATGAAAAAGCTTTTAGAAAGGTTTTTGCATCGGAGAAGATTTTATAAAAATATGTTTTTATTAAAAAAATGTTAGCGGAAAGCTGATGTGGCAAAAAGTAAAAAGTTTTTTGATGACTTATGCATTGAAGATGTTCTTAATTGAATTTTTCATTTTAACTATAAGTGTTGGAACCATTTGATACAACTTATCTGTGCTTCTTACGTATATTACATTCAGTTAATTTTCTCAATTTACGTATATATGTTTATAGTTATTGAACATATATCTGAATGAGTTATATAGAGATGTGAATATATTGAAAAAATGTGTATATGAAGAGCGTACGTGATAGTGTAATTGTTTAATGTATATATTAATAGAAATTCAACAATTATATTAAATTCAAGAAATAAAAGGATATTGGGTTCATCGGGTTAGGTTGGGTTCAAATAATAATAATCCAATATCAACCCAATACATATAGTTTGAAAAATATACAGCTCGATTAAACATTAGGTTGAATTATTTCGTATTAGTTTGGATTAGATTGATCGGGTTTTTGAGCACCTCTGATGTCAACCGAAGCAAAACAATTACAAAGAGAATATACATAAAAAATGAACCCTAAGCACATCATATTGACGGTGTGAGAGAAATCAATTAAATAAACGAAACATGCCAGCAACTTAATCAAACATAAAGTTTCGCATATAGGTAAAGATTTCTAACTTTTATATTTTTGATGATATATATATATATATATATATATATGAGTCCATTCAAATGAAAACTGACTAGTTTGTTGTAACCGTAAGATTTAATCTCAACCATAAATCAATAGATAAATTAAGAAATTTATAATTTTAGTAATTTTTAATTGAAATTCTAATGTAATGACATTTTAAGTTTTCTCTTCTCTCTTCTCTCTCCGTCCCCGTCTTCCTGCCTCCGGCCACCGTCTTCTGGTGATACCATAGTGTGATACTCAAGCACATATAAGATGCACTGTGATACTACTGTGTTACATATCCGATCGACCACACGAACGACCTCACATATAAGAAGCATTGTGATACCACTGTGGTATCACCGGAGGCTGGAGGCCAAAGGATGTAGGCCGGGAGACGGAGAGAGAAGAGAGGAGATAGAGGAGAGGAGAGAAAATACCGAAAATGTTATTGCATTAAAATTTTAATTAAAAATTACCAAAATTAAAAATTTCTTAATTTATCTATTGATTTGTGGTTGAGATTGGACCTCACGGCTACCACAAATTAATTAGTTCTCATTTAATTAGTCATATATATATATATATATATATATGTTGGTTCAAATACTAACCAAGAAATGTGTGTTAACTATACTAACCAAGACTAACCAATCATATTCTTTATTTACTATATGTTCAAATGTAACTTATAAATTAAATACAAGGGTGATTATGTAATTTGACCTTTATGTAACTCCCTAATAATTAATTGGGAGTTACAGATCTTAAAGATCTCTCTAATTGATCATTAGGTAATTTTGATTTTTATCTTCATTTGTGTTCATGATCGTGATTTCAAGTGATGTTCTACATATAATGATATTCGTTTTGTAAGTGTAAAAGATTTTCTTATCGTCCGAGTAATATGGATAATAGTATTGTAAATCATATTGATAATAATGGAAATGACAAAGTTAAAATCGGATACGACTACGGTCGGAATTCGAATTCCGATGATGAAGAAGATGATCAAAGCGTTCCGATTGGTAAGTGATTAGTATGACATTTATTTGTTTAAATGAACAACTATTAGGGTGCGTTTGGTACGTTGGACATGGTGGGACAGGACAGGACAGAACACAATTGTCCTATGTTTGGTGTGGCCTTATGTGGGACTCACTAGAACTAGCTAGAACACGGGTGGGACAAGCCTGTCCACCCTTACCCCCCTGGAACTAACTAGAACAGGAAATATTTTACCTATCTACCCTCTCAAAACCCTTCTTCGCTTCC